ACAATTTTCTTCACGCCACTGGTGCCTAATGCCAAAGTAGAGGTCGTTAAATGAGTCGTCGTAGGCCAAAACGCACCAAAATTGGGGGTTTTCAACCCATCAAAAATCAACTAACTCCACTGATATCACTTGCAAAAAAATTTAAAAAAATTTTCCCATTCATCTAAAGTATACTATATGATTCCCGAAGATTTTTGTATAGCAGTCATGTAGAATGGGACATGTCTGAAGTTGGTGAGGTTGGTTGCAATGTATCTTTTACATACAAAAAATCACATCTTGGCAGGTATCTTCCAATTATAGCACAAAAACCCTCCTCACTACTCTGCTGTAGTTGAAGTAAAAAAATCTCATATTTTTTTCTCTGAGTGGATGTACACTATGGAATTTCTTAAATTTTCCCTATGGTGATTTCATCCAAATTCGTTGAGATTTGATGGTGTTAAAAACCCCAATTTTGGTGTGTTTTGGCCTACGACGACTCACTTCTGTGCCTCGTGTTGATGCCAGTCTTCGAGTGATGTCCGGTGATTGGCAGCCTTGGTTCATACTAGGGCGCTTTTCAAATAACAATAATGATAATGATATTATGAAAATTTCTCAAGATATATATATATATATCTGGTCGCACATGATGGATCATATGCCTGTCTAGTCTAATAAATAGTGAAAATAGGAAAAAAAAACTCTAAAAATTGATGTGGGTTATGCCAGTTAATCACCACCGCCACCGCCGGATGGATAGAAGGGGGAAATTCGAGTAGATATACCGTATAAGTGTAAGGCGCACCCATTCCGACTATCATACCGTGCGGTTTAGGATTCGCTATGGTACCTCTTGGAGCGCGGGGGGGGGGTTTGCTCTCTTCCTTCACCTTCCCTCACCTTACATCCAGCTTGTTTTTACTTACGTGCTGCACTTGAGACGGTGTGTCATTGCACTGTATTTCTGGGTGTGGCTGTGGTGTGTCCCATTGCTCTGGTGCCAGCCGTACCGACTGGATGGATTGGTGGATGGATTGTCGATGGCTGGTGGCATGGGCAGCGAGTGGGTGAACCTGGTTTGATCGAATGGGAACCGGGTCGGTGGGGTGGAGGGGAGGAGATGTCGAGTTTGGTGGGGTTTTTGGCGGGTTTAAAGGCACAATTTGGTGTACAGTGCTGTGCGTGCGTGTTTGCCATGTCGAGTGGTGAGGTATGATACTCATAGCGGTACTAATGTTTCGGAATTTGTGCTTCTTTGGTCGTGTCGTTGTGTCTGACTCTGTGACGACTCATGAGCGGGCAAGTGTGCCCGTAGAAATAATTGGGGATTGTCTCCCTTCTTTGACAGTGGAGGTTATGATGTCGTACAAACAAAAAAGGCGTCACCTATCCACCACTGCGTGCTCGGCATGCCGGTTCGGCCCGTGCAGTGGAATCACGGGATCCGTGCCGAACATGGAAGACGGTGCGTACCTTGCGGGGCGGGCTCGGGCATACAGGAGCCGAGGCTCGACGGAACCTCAATCCTCGGGCTGTGCCGGTAAGAACGAATGGGGAATCGGAAGCGAAAGATGGCGACGGTGACGATAAAAGAGTTTATCATCTGTACACCAGCAGAGGGCTTGTTTGGGCAGGTTTTAGGGGTATGTGATCGGGGAGATAAGGCGGGACCCGCCGGGGTCGATCGATGATACGCTAGGTACGGCGAACTACCATGTGAGAAGTAGCGTGTCACGAGTGATGGGGTATGGTTCGTTTATCTGTCTGCCCACGCTATTTCGGGTAACTTAACTGAGCAACGGACGAAAGCGTCAGGTGCTGGATAGTAAGGTGTTTTGCGAACCCCGATTTGGTCAAGGAGAGCCCGGTTAACCAGCCGACTCTGTAGCCACGATGGGACCTCCCTCAATAATCACGGCATTCTGGTACCGTATGATATAAGCCTTGGAGTCGTGAGCACCTTCAGAAACATCGCGCTAGATGGCGCTCCCTACACCATACCCCACCCCAGACAATGGTATCGTATCGGCACGTCCGGTAACCCCCCCCCCCACCACACCTGGCCCAAATAAGCCAGCAGCCCCGCGATCATCGTCGCAAAGGGCATACCTCACGAGCAGGACCCTCGCACAGAGTGTCTCACAATGGTTCCAGTTCAGCTACTCTCGCGAGACATTGGGGAGGCGATTGGCGAACCGTGAGATTTTTCCACGGTGATGCTCTCACCTTCGCTGAACTCCTGCAGTGACCATGAAAGGAAGATTCTCCCTTGCGTGGGTTTTGGTGGGGGGGAGGGGGGGTTTGGAACATTTTGTTTCTCATCTTGTTTAGCCAGTGGTCACCATGGGCACAGGTACCGGTACTTCGTTGAAGCAGGTGATGTTCGTGTGTGGTGGTGGTGGTTTATTTTCGGTCGGCCTGGGCGGTTATGCGGTCTGCAGATGATGGAATATCAAAATTGCGCTGCATCCGAAATAACCTTCCCTCACCCTTCTCCTACTTCCCCTGCTCAACCCGCAGCGATTCCATCTCATCCCGCCTTGTCCTGTAAATAACACGGACAACCGCATAGAAGCGTTCCCGAAGTCCCTGCTCTTCGCCTTCAAATGCCTCAAGTCAGTCGAATACTAAACCCGACTACAAGACTACAACGCAATGTTGAGGGGTTAAGTTTTCCTTCTCCTCTCACCCTCCCCTCCTACCGGTATTCCCTATGACGAAAGCGCATGTACGCACGTGTAGTTCACGAAGAGAAACGGAGGGGGAAAAGAAAAAAAGCCGTTGCGGAGGTGTTTGGTTTGGAGCGGAGCTCCTTGCCAGGGCGGGCGGCAGTGTCGTTAGCGGCGTGAGGCAAGAGAATCTGGGAGAGAGAGAGAGGCAAAGCGAAGATGAAGAGGGGGCGATGGAAAGACCACATACCACGTATCATACAGGTACGCTATGTATGACGATTGAAGTGGTGTTGGTATGGTAGTAAGTCCCTTTACCTCACATAATCGCTCAAAAACGTGATCTCCAGGGGGGGAAATATGTACAGAGGGGCAATGGTAAGGATAGATATGCCGTGCGTACATAAAGATCATGAATTTCATTGTAGGTACCGGTGCGTTTGGGGTTGCCAAATATACGGTACTTTTTATCATGTTTTTCCTTTTTTTTTTCTTCCTCCCCTCCATCCGGATCACGGTTAAGTTACAGCATTCTACAAAGGCGCCTGAAATTTCGAGTGATGTTGCGTGATGTGGTTGTTGCAGTTTCCTGTGATGGGAAGAGATAAGGTTTCTCCTATCTGGGGGTTTAATGTCCGTGCGAAAGTCGAGTTACACTGGTCTCGAATTACTGGTATCACACCGGTATGATACCGGAGACCGTAGACGAACCCCGTGGGGAAGCAACGAAGAGGCCGGGCTAATGTGCACGACAGGAAGGCAAAAAAAGAAGGGAATTGGGGGGGGGGAAACAAGGTAGGGATTTCTTTTTTCATTCAATCATTCCCTTTGGTGGTGATGGCGGTGTGGTTCAACTGCCAGATTGCTTTGCAGCCACCGTAGATAAGTCCATCACCCACCTACTCGTACTTGTCCACCATACCATACCGATGAAAAATAAGGATAAGAAAAGAGAAAAAAAGAAAGGAAAAGTGTACAGGGCGAAGGAGACAAGTGGGATGTCATAACTACTCGAATGGATTGGACTTACCCTCCTCGAGAGAAAGAGAGAGAGAGAGAGAGAGAGGAGAGAAAACGAAAGCAGCTGCCGTTACGGTACGGTACTGTACGAGTACTCTCAGCGTGGGGAGCGAACGATAATTATCATGGGGATCAAACACCGGCATCTTATTTTTCGGAGACCGTGCGAGAGGGCTATGATATGGCACTGTACTCGAGTACCTGTGCTGCACTTTTAGCAGCGTCATGTCCATGTCCATGTCCTTGTCATGGGGAAAAATAATAATATGAAATCCTCTGTACGAGTATGATCTGAAGAATGTGAGAGGTCGTATTATATGCCGACACCCTCCCCCCTCCCCCTCCCTCCTCACGATGAATAATAATAGTAGTAATAATATGTGTCTTTTTCTTCTTCTTCCGCCAATGATCTGATAATGATACATACCTTAGTATTGCCGTATATTCACACAGTGGTGAATGGATGAATTTACTCTTGCCATCCAGCCCTCGCTTTGCTGCTGCAGCTGTTGTCGGTGGTGGTGGTGGCATCCAACCGCCGTATCGTGCGAATGCTTCGGGAAATATCCTGTCTAAGCGACCAACTAAACTTGCTTGATTCGTACTAGTTGACACTCAAACGCACCGCACAGATGCCGTAGCCAAAAACCTGCATGTGGGGAGAGAGTAAAAAGCAAGAAAAATGGTGGTATCGTGAAGGCTCTTCCTTGGGTTGGGCTTTGAGCTTTGAGTGTGACGGAGTCGGGGGTGGATACTGTGGACTATCGTGCTGGCGGTGTAAGACATGTTCACCTCCTCGGTGGATGGGTGGGTGTTTTGGACCGCTGTTACGGTATCGTGGTGCTTAGGACGACGCTAGGAGAGGGGAAGGAGGCGGGGGAAATGGAGGACTGAGTACAATGCTCGAGCATGATACCGGTATTTTTCTCGGGAAAGGGTCTTGTTGAAGGAGGGACTCCTGCCCCCCCCCCCGGGTGAGCCGATGGAGCATCGCTGGTTCGTAGACTTGATTGCCAGTACCGTATTAGTACTTGATGCCGTACGGGTCCCGGTATTGTAGGAGCAGTGCGCTCTCTTCATACCGTATACATACTCGTAGTGTGTGTATTAATGCGCCGAAAGATTGGTCCCGGGTACTTGCACGGTAGAGGTCATGGTCCCCTCCCCAGCATCGGTACCCCAGGTCCACAAACCAAAACCAAACCAAACCGTCGGCCTACGAGCACCGGTTGTACCGGTATTCTTCTTTCCGGTAATTGCTTTTTAACCCATGTTTCGCTTTACCGTATGAGTTTGCGGGTAGCGCTTTAGGCGCACGTTTGCTTGCTTCAACTCGTAATTTACTGTGCAGTGCCGTATGAGACATCCAGCACCGGTGCCGAGCGCTAGGCTAGGTTGGGGAATGGTTTCGTTTCGCTTCGCTTTGCTTATTGGTTGGTTGGGTGGTTGGATGGTGTATATCGTCATCGCCATCGGGCGGTTTGGGCTTGGGGTATGATGAGATCTTGACTGTGCTCGTACGGGGGAGGGGGGGTGTGTATAATAAGGAATGCGGGAGGGGGGGATGGGCTGAGCTCTTTCATTTTCATCATGGACTGTGAGAGGGTTCGACGGATAAGCTATGCAAAGTGTCTTGGCGAATGCTGATTTTGTATGGCTTGCTCGTTGGACCGCTCATGGCTTAATCTACTGGCATCAGTGTGTGTGGTCACGCCCGTTGGGGTGTTTCTGGGGTTGTACTAGTACTAGCACTCGAGCGCTGGTATTGTATGGTGGCACAAGGAAGGGAGGAAGGGGAGGCGGTTATCATGGTATGATACACCGTTTTTTTGTCGAGGAGGCTTTTGTTTCAATTATCATAATTAATGTGCTCGAGGGGATGACGATATTGTAGCTACGATACGGCACCGCAGCTGGCTTGAGTTAACTCCAACTCCTCCCCACCCCTACCTGTCCTATCGTGTCATACGGTGTGGCCCTAACCATAGCCGCTGCTTCGGGGCCAAGGATAGATACCAATTAAGGGTCCAAAGTAGCAGGGGAGCAAGCAGAAGGAGGGGTACGTCAGGTTAGGGGGAATGCTTTTTCCACCGGAGGGAGAGAGAGAGAACTCGTTTGATGCTGCCGTATGGTATGCTTCATTCAAATGGGTTGAACCGAGCATCTTGGGCGGCTGCCATTTGTTGCCTCTTCCCAGGTTGGAGTGTGGATGCGGAGTGAGAATGTTTAAATGGAGAATGCCCTGAAAAAGCCTGCGGTTAACTATTATGGTTTTGGGAAATGGATGCAGGGTAGGGGGGGATCAGATAAATCCAACCATTGTTGGATGGTTTTTGTCGTGGGTACAGTGCGGTGCGGTGCAGTGCAGTGCTCGAGCACCGGAACTCGTAGGAGAATTGGGGGGGTGGGGAAATAGGAGATGTATGGGGGGGGCTTTATCATCATATCGGGGAGGGGGAGGGGATGGGGAAGGAGCAGGCAAGCAGAGGAGAGAGTATTGGTATTATGGAGGGGGGAGGTTGGCTGGCAGGTAACTATCGGAGGAGGAGAGGAAGGGCAGATTGGAAGCGGCGTGGGTCAGGTTCGATAAAGCTTGGCCGGAGCAAAGCGATAGGCTGGCAGGCCATGTGCAGGGGTCTCGTGCAGTGGAGTCCCGGCTTGGCAATATGAGACTTGCATTCTCAGCGAGGAGGGACAGACAGTAGGCCCAAATGTTGAACCGGGCGGCGAACAGCCACCACCGGCACCACCACCTGTACGAAGAAGACGAAAATCCCCTACCGTAACTGAACGAAACCAAGCGGAGAGCAGGGAATGGGAAGAACAGGGCAAAGTGGGCCAACATCACACGGCCCACCGGTAGACTATGGTATTCTACTCGTTCAATGCGACACTAACTCAAAGACAAGAAGAGGGAGGAAGGAAAGAAATTCGGGCCATCATAGGTCCTTGGCTCTTGCGAGTGCAGGAGTCGGAAAGGGTGCAACAGCAAGAACGCCCAGGGAACAAGACTCGAGTGGAATGATCACAATGGTGCTATCTTATCACCGTATGGGATGGGAAAAACTTGGAAAACCGGAGCAAAATGAGATGCACTACCCACTGTACCGTACTCGAGGATATGCAACCCAATTATCTTGGATAGGGTTGAGGGAGAGGGAGGAGGGATAGAGATGGAATAGTGTTTCCTATTGGGGGTCGAGAGCAACTGCGGGTATCTGGTGTTTTTTCTTTTTTCTTCCTCTTCCTTTCTTCTTTTCCAATTCGCTCCCTAGCTTTCTATTTTTCGTTTTTTTAGCTGAGCCTTCCTGCGTGTTCTCATTTCCTTTATGCTGGCTTGCTTCCTGTTGTGCTTGCTTGTTTGTGCGGACGGGCAGCTCTCTCTCGCAGCTCTCTCCCCTTCGCTTCGCATCTTGGTTTGGAGAGCGGCGTCCGGCGTTTGAGGTTCTGCCCAGGTCACGGTAGATTATATAGACCACAGGAACGGTGGAAACAGGAGGGGCAAAGCTGAGGATAGCGGCTACTGCGCGGCGTATTTTGTTTTTTTCCCACCCCGTCTATTATCTTCAGTAGTGGGTCATCCTCCTTTCCCTCAACCTCTGTTTTTTATTTTTTGCTCCATGGTCGGATTATTTTTTTCTCTCTTTTCCTTACTTTTTCCTTACTTTTTCTTTCTTTTCTTTTTACCGGTCACTCTCCATATCATAGGCACAAGACGTGAGGTAGGTGCCTTGAGAGTGGTCACTGGAGCCCGAGAATATTATCGGTAATTTTTTTTTCTGATGGTGACTTTATGTGCGCGTTGCGTTCGATGGAGGCACGTTTACGAGAGATCTGACCAGGAAGGACGCAGTTAGGAAGGCACTAGATCATTTACAGTAGTGAACGAAGAACTATGATAATCGACCGCCTGGCCAGGTGGGCTGGAGCTTGATCCGGCGAGGAAAGGAGCGACTGGACTTCTTTTGCTTTCCTGGAGTAGTGAAGAGTGATCATCATCAGAGGGGAGAGGGAGAAGGAAAAAAGGAAAAAAACAGAGCTAATATCAGAGACTTCATACCGTGCGAGTAGTTGTGATACGGTATTTTGTGTGAACCACACAGTTGCAGAGGGGGAGGAAAGACCCGTGGTGATCGAGGCCGACGCTTGGACGTTCGTCTTTGCGTCAGAGAGGCATTGGGGCGGACTGACGGACGGGCAGCCCCTCCCTTTCCAGGACCCTCTCCCTTCGTCCTCGTCTCTTCCTCCCCGTCTCGCCCACTTCTCACGACTTTCTTCTCGCCCCCTTCCCATATTGCGTTGCAGACGCCCTCGCCCCCCCCCCTCCCCCCCAAAGCTTACCTACATAACACACATGCACGTCCAGAGTGCTACACTTACCCTCTCCCCCTCTCAACCTTGCTCTCCACTAAAGGGTTCCTCCTTAAGCACCCTTTTGTTTCCCCGTATCCCTTCAACCACTCCCTCTCCCTCTCCTTCCCCCCTCCTCCCTCTCCCTCCCTCTCACCACTAGGAGTGAAGGAATCCTTTTCTTCTCCTTCATCCTCGCCCCTGCTCTCCTCTCACCTCCTCTTCCCTTAATAGCCCGTCCCCCCCGATCTTCTCGATCTATTTTTCCTGTTATCCCCCTCCACCCCCCCAACCACCACTAACTCCTCTACCTACGCTCTGAAGAGAAAGGTATTGGGCACTTGGCAGGGCCCGCTGCAGAAGTGGTCGGATTTTAATCTTTCAATCCTCTGTGACGTCTCCCAGAGGACTATAGGGATAGGTGCTTGCTCGTGAAAAGTCGGTGTGGAAAGGGAAGCAAATAAGCCCCGCAGCGGTTAATACTGTAGGGCAAAAAGGGAAAGGGGATCAGAGAAAAAGGACGAAGCAAGAGACTTAACTGATAGTCTGCCTGCCTGCCTACGAGTAGTCTCGCTTGGTAATAACGAACTGTTACGAACAACGATACCCCCCACCCCCCCCCTAAATACCAGCTCCTTTTTTATCTCGCTGGAGCCATCTTCGGAGTTCCGCTAGTTTGGAACTTGTGTGCGTGAGAAATAATTATAATTTCTACCTTTCCCTGAAAAAAAAAAACCCCCCGTCATCGGTGGCCTGTCCAGTGTGAGTACCATATTTTAAGTACAAGACCGCTCCTGCGTTCATGTTTTCTCTCGTTCAGCCTTCTTATGACCCTTTCCTACGTCGCTGCCTTGTCATCAACTCGTCTCGGCTTCGTACTTCCTATGGGGACGACCGCCTCACTGACATTTTCATCATCTCGAAGTTACTCTCGTGATAGGCTTTTCCCAGATATCTCTCCTTCCTCGAAACAGAGATAACCTCCCCGAACCTGTATGCATTCATAATGGACTCCGAGGACGGGCATACATACATCAAGCACCTTGCTCACTTCGTTCGTACGCACGAGAAGGCTCTCGCAAATGCTCTACAGCTTCAGAGGCGACCACTCCGTCGTAGCGATACGGCCCCGGCCGTGTCTGGAAGGACTCCTGCCAACCTGCAATATGCCCATGGTTCCTCTTCCGCGTCTAGCTCTCTGGCTGCTGCCTTCTCGCTTCCGTCATTGTCCTTCACCTCGCAGCACCTCAAGCCCGCAAAGTTGGGACTTACACCTCACCATCTCTACTATCTCCTGAGCCGGTTCGAGGAGCTCAACATCCCGGTTGGGCCCATGGGGGTTCGTCTGGAGAACATTCATGCGGAGAGCTCGCCGGGCAATTATGTTTCGTTCTTGAGGGATACTTCCAGGCGTAGGAACCATTCGTCGGATAGCTTGTCGATACACTCTGTGTCTAGTGTTAGGAGTGTTATGTCTGGGGTGTCGTCGTTGTGGTCTTCCATTGGACTCGGAGCGTCCGCTTCGGTCAAAAGTGAGAAGGCAAAGGCAGCTCTGGAGGCCGATTTGAAATACCTCTACTCAGCGTTCACTAAGATACCCTGCCTGAGGCTTGCGCCTGATAGGAAAGCTCGTCTGATTGAGGGGTTTGAGGAGTTCCCGTTTGATACTGCGGTGCCCTTGTTGGCATTCAAGAATGTTAGCGCGTTGGAGATTTGTGATATTGATATCCGCCAATTCTTTGGATGGGACCAACTGGCGGAAAGGCTACGAAGTCTGGTTGTGAAACGTGGTGGGATCAAGGACCCCGCCGAACTCATCATTGCTATTGTTCTGGACGACATGGACAAGAGACGGCGGAGGTCTGCTAAATCTTCATCTTCGCCAATAATTTCGTATCCTTCCTCAAGCCCTGGCCTGAGCAATGAGGGGGAGCCATCGACCCCACCCTCTCCAGTCACGGGCCAAATTGGTAGCAGCAGCGCCCCTGCCGGCCATTACCATGCCATGTCTAGGGTTCCCTCCAATTCCTCAAGGTCGAGCTCCAAGAACCGACCCCGCAGCAACTCGCCTACGAGACCTGCGAGCTCCAGGACTAGTTCTACTGCTACGAACTCGCATTCTCGTTCTCAAAGGATGCGGAGATCTGGCTCTGGTAGCAGCCACTCGTCGTCAACTTCAACTCTTCTTCCGGCCCCTAACCATGGTTTGACACTGCCAGCCAATCTACCCAATACAAAGTGGCGCTTCTTGAGACATCTCTCATTGGCGGATAATGATTTGTTATCGGTTTCCTCTGCTGCCCTGACCCCGTTGGCCGGTTCCTTATCATCGCTCGATCTCTCGAATAACCTTTTCAAGTCCATTCCCGAGTGTCTCTCTATTCTCTACAATCTGCGTGCTTTGAACCTTTCCGGAAACATGATTGATTCTCTCCACTCCTTGACACGAAACCCGCTCCCGGCCATAACCGCACTTAACCTCCGTGGCAATGTGCTGGCGTCAATCGCGGGGGTAGAACGATTGTTGTCTCTGGAACGCCTAGATTTGCGGGAAAACAAACTCACTGACCCCACAGAACTAGCTCGGTTAACGGGCGTGCCTAATATAGCGGAGATCTGGATTGCCTCAAATCCTTTCACCAAGACCCACTCTGGTTACCGTGTGACTATCTTCAATCTGTTCCGAGAAACACCTGGGTATTCGGACGATATTTCCTTGGACTCGCAAAAGCCTGGAATGATGGAAAAACGAAACCTAAAGGATAGGGTAGCGGAGACCCCTGCTGTTCCTGTGATGAGGGTACCGCCGTCGCCCACTGTTATGGTAAATACCGTCTCACCGATGGATTCCAAGAAGAAGGACAAGCATGACAACGAAAAGGTTATCAAGATCGGCGGCGGGGACGTGGCCAGGGCTAAAAGGAAGGTTGGGAAGCGGAGAGTTGTCGAACTGAGCCGGGACGATAGCAATGCGTCTGTCCACCAGGATATACAGCTGACTACGAAACCGCCGGCTGCCAGATCGACCTCACAGAGTAGGTCGGTGGTTGTCTCTCCATCGAAGCCACCGACGGCACCGAAGGAGATATATCACCCGCCGGAGGAGACGTCATCTGGAGCGGAGTCCTCACCTCCGAACCATCACTCTTCGCCGAGTGAGAATGTCGATTGGGCTCAGAAGGGAGTTGAGTATAGACGCAAGGTTGAAGCTCTCAAGAGCGAAGTTGGACCCGGATGGTTGAGTGTATTGAGCGAGGAGGGCATGTCATTGGCACCGTCGCGGAAGGTTTCGTCACCTTCGATGCCGGCATCGGGGCCTGCTCAGCAGAAGTCGGACTAGCTGTGTTTTGTTTCATTGTTTGTTTACAGGAGGATCCTCTACCCTTGAGTTGGCGGGGTTGAACTTGCATAGTGGGAGGGGCCATTGAAGATTGTAGCGGAAATGGCGAGCATCACGATTTTACGCATGTTTTTTTCTTGTTTCATTCAAAATTCGACATGAAGAGGTCTTTTTTTCTTTCTTTCCTGCTTCTCTCTTCTCTCCGGGGGGGGTTCTTCTGCTTCCTATTGTATCATAGGTTTTGTGTTTTAATCGTTGGGTCGGGAGTTAGGCTGGGCTTATCATTTCATTTTTGTTGCTGCTCTATCGTTTGAACTCTCAAATCCGGGGTTGTTTATTTGTGGATGTTGTCTGTTTTAATCTTCTCGTCCTTTTGATTGCCCCCCTTCCCTTCGATTATTGCATACATGCATATTTTTCTGGGTGTATTTTTCCTTCTATCGTTCTATCCCTTCTTCAGTCTGCCCGCCTGTCTTTCATGTCCTCTGTCGTGCTGTACTGCATTTGATATATACCGCGGTTGAGTTCCTTTTTTTTTTTTTTTTTTTTTTTGCTTTCTTTGCTGTTTTATTGTGCGTTCTGTTTTTTTCAAAACTTTTTTTTTTTTCATTCGAATATTCATCATCATTTCTTAGGGACGGTATTACAAAAAATGGGAGGATTGGATTCGGGGATTTTGGCCAGGGGTGGAGGAGTGGATATGTTTTACCAAAAAAAAAATAGCCCTTTTCTACTCAAAATTTGTGATATCGGTATTCTTTGTCGTGCCCACTCACAAGATGGTCTACTATCAGGGTGCTGTAAGTGGTGGTGTTTTAATATTTGTTTCGGTGACTTATGATATCGGTCCTAACCTATTACCCTTCCCAAGAAAAGATGTGAAGGGTGATTATTACGACTTTATGACAGTTTACCTCCGCTCCGCCCACTCGGCATCATACATTCCGATCCACACACACCCCTGACCCCCCTCTCTCTGCCCCCCTCCAGCCCTAACAAACCAAATAAACGGACCCATATTATTCACCGCAGTAAGAATCACCCTACCTGCACGAACAACCCGCGGTCCACAACCCACACGGCTATTCCAGATCTCGAGCAGCAGTCCGAATCTCCTTCCCTCCTCTTCCCAACCGCCACTGCGAATGCCGGCATCGAGCAAGGTATGGTACGGTAGCCCATGCAGGATGCACAGCACACTCCCGTGCTCGTACGAGTACCGTACCAGTACAGTACCGTGCGTGTTGGAGCGGTCCAGCCCAGCCTGGTCCAGTCAATCTCTCACGCCAGCACTAACTTACTGTAAATTACGGTAGCAGTATTATATCATACGCACACTCCACCAGACCGGACCGGACCAAAATAAGCTCCTCTCATGCAACCGGACAACCTGAAAGTGCTACCGGTACCGTATCTGCTGTGTATATATATACCGGTATACCGTACCACACCGTAGCGTATTTTCCGGGGGTTTTATTTTATTTTTATTTTTTTTGTGGCGTCTAGCTTAAGTTCGCTATTCTAGCCATCTATTGTGATATGATACAGGGTATGATAGTATGATATGATAACACTCGTCATTAACCTAGTGTGCCGCCGCAAGTTAGTCTACGGTAGTTGCGTATACCGACCGGTAAAGTGTATGGACTACGATAAGTACTCGAGTACAGTACTCGTATGATATGATACGAGTGGGTTTGGTGATGTCCGTTCGAGTCCTCCCCTCCCCTCTCTCCACTCGTACAATACTCGTACAATACAGATTAATACAAGTTAACAACCACCAGCCCGGCAAGGACAGTAATAGTTTTATATCATACTAACGGGCGGGTATCATACATACATACTATTATTGCACCAGTAATATAAAATCAACAGGTTAATAACCCCCCCAGGTGCAAAAACCGTATGTATCATATACACATACTCGCAGATTATGGTATGATAGATAATGTGATAACCGGCTGAACCCCGCACGCAACGTATATATACTCTACTCGTACTGTACCCCGCCGGTCGGCTCATCAACCCATCCACCCACCCACCCGCCAAGATTTCTTCTGTGATGATGATGATGATGATGTGGTCAATCACGAGTACGAGACGATGGTTTAATTACCGTTAAATTTGTGCATCGATGGGTTCGTTCGTTTCCGTTTCGATAGAGTGCGTTCTGTACTTTATGATACTTGTATATATGTATGTATGTGTGTGGCGCGTGGGTGCCGTTCCTGATCAGAGTGGTGGGGGGGGGGGGGGTAGGGAGGAGCTGAGATCGCGGGCATGGGGTATCACTCGGATGTAATTTGGATTGCGGGGGTACTCCTTTTTCCTTTTTCCTTCCCCCCCCCTCCTCCGATGTACTCGAGTAGATTTGAGATTTTTACTCTTGTTTTTTTTTTCGTTCTGTTCTATTCTACTCTAGTTACGCTGCTGGTATGATATCATACGAGGTTTAATTTGTGGGTGCCATGGGACGGCCTTGTGATTCGGGTTGAATTGAGTTGAGTAGCTATCATTACTTACTTGGGGGAGGGGGAGACTTGTATCGGGTTTACTCGAGTACAAAATCACCCTCCCCATTTTTACTGCACCATATAGAGCACCATACTACACGTGCTACTGGTAGCCTGCTTGTATGATGGTGTGGTGTGGTACGAGTATAGGGATGGCTCAATTTATTTCCGTATATGTATTCAGCAACCCCTATATGGCCTTGATAGTTGAAGTGATTCTACTATAGAAAAAAAAAAGCCCGGTCCTCCAAATTAATTTCGCGCTTCCGGGAGAAAGAAACGAAGGAAGAATAAAAGAAAGAGTGAAAAGAGGAAATAAGCTTGACGTGGCCGGTATCTTAATATCTCATATGCAACCCTTCTGCGATCGATCGATTTACATGCGTACCGGGCCTATTTCCGTTCTTTTGTCCTCCTCCCCCCTCTCGTTCTCGGAATTAATCGCAGTGAACCACACCGTCGGAGTGGGTATGGCAGTGGAGGCTGGCGGAAGAGGTGGTTGTTGGCGGTTGAGAGGTGGTAGTAGTGGGTGGGTAGGTGCTAGAGGTTATTAATGTGGTGGGAGCGACAGAGGTGGTAATGGCAGCAGAAGTGGCAACAGAAGTGTCGGCGGAAGCGGCAGCAGAAGTGCCAGCAGAAACCTCAGCAGAAATGGCAACAGAGGTGGCGGCGGAAGTGGCAGCAGAAGTGGCAGCAGGAGTATCAGGAAGAGTGTCGGCAAGAGTGTCAGCAGGAGTGGCAGCAGAAGTGGCGGTGGAGGTGGCGGCAGAAGTGTTGGGAGGGGCAGGGGTAACACTTGAGGTGTCGATAATGGTGCCTGGCTTACTGGAAGCAGCGGCGGGGGTCGGGGTTGTAGGAGCAACAGGGGCAACACCAGAGGCGACAGAAGTAGCGCTAGGCTTGCTGGAAGCAGCTACAGAAGCGGAAGAAGACACTTCCCTCACACCCGCACATCCGATGCCGGGATTTCCGACTTCGTAAGCATAAACTTCTAAGGCGAACCACTGGAGTGAATCCGAGTTCCTCACAGAGATGCTTCCATTCCCATTCTGCGCCAATTCTAGAGTGTCCTCCCAGGAATCGCTATAATGATCGACAACGCCCTCGGCCAACACAGGGATGTGGAGGACGCGGTGCAACAGGTCCGAGGCGAAGAAGAAGTTTGTCTTGTAGTTCGCGACGTTGTAGCCCAAGGCGCACATCTGAGTGAGAGGGCGGCGGGAGGTGTATGAGAGCGGGCAAATAACTGTTTCCGAGGTGGCATTCGAGCCACGCCAGTGGCCTGCCCATCCGGGTTGGGCACAGTTTCCGTCGACGTCGTCACAGCGGAGGAGCATGCCGGGCTTATTGGCCGAGAGGATCCGAGTGAACCAGCCGAGGACTTCAGCAGTGGCGGCGTTGGTTCCGAACCATTTCCTGAAGATTAGCGAGGAGGTTCCGGTGCGGAGGAGATGGCTTTGGGCGGTGGAGACAAGTTCCTAAGAGCTGTCAGTCCTGCCTGATGCATGATGTATTATGAAGAGGGAATGTACCTCCAACTCCGACAAAGCAGCAGTCAACTGACGATGTTCAGTGATATTACATGATCCATGGATCTCAATTCCCACTATATATGTTCATTTGCGAGCTTGTCTCTCCGCTCTGATGGGTAGTACTCAACACACATGGCTCGAGATGAGGCATAGCGCTCGGGATCCCTGTGGTAGTAATAGTCGCAGTCGGAGCTGGGGCAGCAAGCACGCCTGAGACAAGGGCCACCAAAGAAAAGACGCCAAAAGTCTTCATTATGATCGTAGGAGTTCCGTTAAACGTTCTTCTTCGCTGCTCTGGGCACGCCGCAACCTGAGAGACCAATTGACACAAGGAGGGGGAGATGGGATTGAAGCTCCAGCAAGTCCGGCCTTCCAACCCCGTTTTTATACCCAATTCTCACCGCTCTCACCCCCATCCCATCATCGAAAAACAACAAGTACTCAACCTTCCGTTGTGGCCCATGCCTCCCTCCTTACGATATCTTTTGCTCTTGTCAGTAGGGGAGCGCTCGAGCGCACATTGGCTGTGACAACACTGGACCATTTAGAACAGTAGGTAGCTAGGGATCATCCATATTCGTCCAGAGCTGTATGGTGCATTGCCTATTGGATGCCTGGCTGTCTCTCCTATGTACCCCGGCTTGGTAACCTTGTGGAGGTTGAGCTGAGTACCTCTCTGGTGAGGAGAAAAGTCTCGGACCTTGGCAGTACCCTGATGGCTACTACCATCTATCACCAACTCTGAGGGGGGTGCGAACCCCCACCGCTATTGGTACCGCGGCCGGTCCCAATCCAAATACCCCACGGAGGCCATACGGAACACCGCGGTACGCACAAGACAATGTACTTAATCTCTGTCTACCGGGCGGCAGATGACAGAGCCCCAAGCATAGAAAGCCACGAGGTCCAAAGAGGTGATCGTTGGATCCCAGGTTTCATCTCCCTGCTCTGCCGTGATATAGTGCCCCAAACCGGTATCCAGAGTTTGGCATACTGGTATTCTAACATAATTTACACGACAGTCCAGGCCAAGGGGCAGGGACCCCCCACACGTCTACCGCACTGGTAAGCTCTTCTGTTGGCCGTGCCTCGCCTTGTCATAGCGAGGATTTTGGGACTAGAACTCGAAAGGCGTTAGCATAGTGACATGAAGTCAACCAAATTGGCTAAATAGGCCGCGCGCCTCGAGCTCGTGGGACTTACCTTGCAACCGCCCCCATTGAAATAGCTACGATGTGTGGTGTTGTGGGATTCGAACTTGGGCGCTCTCCGTTCTTTCGCAAACATCAATACTTTGGAGGGGGAGACTACAGAAGAAGAGTCGGTGGAGTACGACGCGAGCACTACACTGCAGAGAAGCCCAAGGCTAGAATCATCGCTACCGTATACGAACTGCCGTGTAAGGTGAACATGCGGTACCGGAACTCTATGTGATAGTGGCATACTCATACATTTGGGTAATGAAGGACGGCAGTCTTGTCAGCCACGATACCAACCATCGTACTAGTACAGACCCCTACAAGCCCATTAGTCTAGTCTGGGGGAAACGAGCCTTGGCCTCAGGCCGCCCTCGATGGCATATAACCCTGTTGGGCAGCATCCTTGGCTCAAAGTACCAGTATTCGTACCAAAACAGGCCAACAACCCAAAAATTAACGTTTCTCGCGGCTGAGTGACGGAGCCCATTTCCGCAGAGGGTACAGTGCAGCCGTGAAGCCACTGCAAATTGCGTATCAGAATGCTGTGGTTGTTGTGAGCACCTTTCAATCTCCGATGCGGGTAAACTAGGTGCGAGGTTGCAATCCAGCAAGGACAAAAAAAAGGAGAATCAATTCGGAAACGAAGCAGCAGTGTTTTTCTTCTTTTCTATTTTCTATTTGTTGACTACTGGCATACCAGCAGTCCTTCTCGTGCTAATGTTTTCTAAGAAAGCCTGACCCGTCAATGCGAATTTTGAAAGCAGGTGGGTGTTACAGGTACAAACATTCACCAGACAAAAGGCTTCTCTTTGCCTCTTGAATGGGTCACCCCTTCACACAGACCACAATTCCGCAATGCCTCTCCCCCTACTTGTTGCTTGGAGGTACAGTAGAGCCGTAACGTCAAGCATCGGCGCCCGCTCCCGTAGGCGTCAACTTACTGTAGCGTTTTTGCCAATTTAGGTGTTTTGCATGTAACATCTGCCTCCCTACTTGCTCGCGTTCTGGGGTGCCCACCCCCAACAAGCGAGAAAGAAAGCATAGCCTAATGTTGGGTTGTGGGCATAGGGTGGCGGCCTTGTCAGATGATCCGGGGATACTTTCAGTTCCTCGTACATATGAGAGAGTGAATATTCCCAAAAGTTAGTAGCAAGAAACGTCGATGCCACAACGGGGTTATTAATTGTCCCTAGACAGCCATCTCCCCTTTGGGATGACATTGGGAATAGTTAATTTGTTCTGACACTCTCCACTGCCCAACAATGTTAGCTATTTGGTGGCCACCAAGGAAGTTTTGAAAAGGGGAGCTCTCACAAGCCCAATTACCCCTTTGATCGAGAAATCTATGCTGGGATGTGGGTGCATAGAGCCGTAGGTATAAGCTGTGGATAGAAATATGACAGGGAACCACAGAGCAAGCGGTTTATCTCACGTCGTTTGCATCAAACTAAGTTATGGTGCATACGCCCCGGATTTTGGTGTGTGTTTGTCCGCTGACTAACAGCATGGCTTAAGTTAGGTTCGCGAAAAGGCAATGTCATCACAAACGCTGCGGTGCGCGTAGGCCTAACTTAGGGGAAATGTTGAATGTAGAGTACCATAGGAGCTATGGCGCAGGGTTCGATGGTGGTTCAGGACGACTGGAATGAGGATGGAGAGGCTTGTTGTAAGGAGTAATAGGCTCGAGGTGCATAATATGTAATTCTTGGGGTTTGTTCAATAAGGAGGGAGAGGTGAAGGGGAGAGTCAAACTCCCGGGACCGAAAAAAAAAACCCCCTTTATCGATAAGAGTGCAATCTTGGCATCAAAAGTTATGAATCCTTAGGCACCCTGATTACACCAACACGAGCTACTTCACATCCAGAAATCTCCCCCTCAACCGGCCTGATAGCAAAAGTTAAAATTCACTAAATCCCCTAGGAAGCACAGAGAGCCTGATCCGATAAAAAGCCAGGCCCTATCAGTAGACTTTGAGATCAAGATATCAGGAGCACTGGGGGTAAGCAAAATATACGGTGAACCTTGTGTTGGTTTCCCATATAAAAGGTAGTTGTGTCACACTTTACAACCTTTCTTAGAACACTGTCACAAGGGTGACAGGCCATACAATCTTTACAGAAAATCCCACGGCGCTACTCTGATTAATTCTGCAGTGCTTTTGGGTGAGTTGCAGGGCATTAAAATTGTGTATTCTTGGTATGAAATGCCAAAAGCCGCATGAATTTTGACACCAAGATGGTGTGATACAGCAGAGTCCAGGACATGCATATCGGTACACACCGACCCCATGCATGTCCCATAATACCAGTATCATGATACAGCCGAAATGAACACGGTTAGCTTGCCCCGCCCAAGTCTTGAAAACCATCCAAGTGCATGGGAGAAAGCGGCCCGCTCGGAGGGAAGGTGTCAAAATACCGGTAAAAACCCTCCAAAGCAAGAAGCCAAGTGCTCCAGCTTTCAACCCTCACTCACGCATCACTCGGCCATGGTTTCATATGTGACAGATTGCCCATGAGACACACGATACCGACGAACAGTATCATACCGATATCCAGAACCTTGACTTCATTTGATTGGGTGTTCGCAACCACAACGCCGGGACAGCACCAATAATGGCGTCGTAACCCAAACGGGCAGGCGGATCAAAGGGAGGAAAAACGACTGCCAACATGCCCAAGGTTCAAACGGATCCTCAAGCTCCCAGAACGACCATGTTATCAATAGGGCTAATGCCAAGCTATCCGGCAAACATTTCCGAACAGCAAAAAAGAATTGCTTGTTGTGCCTAACTCCGACCGGGAAAACCTTAAACCGCGAGCGTCTATCCTCTCGCCAAGATTTAGTCCGTAACCTATTGCTTAACGCCGATGAGGCGCCGAAAGGAAATGATCGTTGAGGTGGTAAATGCGGGGCCGACGTCTGGCGGGTATGACGTCTCCGGCCCGAATAAGTTGGATTGAGGATTCGAAAGGATAAATAGAAGTTCGATTCCCTCTAGAATTTTTCCTTCCCACGATCAATCGACTACCCTAAGGCCACTTGAACTCTCGTGAACACGACTTCAACGACCACCTCCGCCTTTACTTGCACTCTTTATTACCTCACAAAACGGCACTCTAATTCTAAATGGCTACTCAAAAAGTCTGGCTCGTCACTGGAACTTCCTCCGGCTTCGGCAATGAACTCGTTCACACCATCCTCAAGAACGGTCATAAAGTCGTCGCGGCGGGAAGGAATACTTCGAGGTTGACCCCTCTAAAGGAGGCCGGTGCTGCGACTACCAAGATCGACCAGAACGAACCTTTGGATGTGCTCAGGAGGCAGATTGGAGACGCTATTGCGGTATATGGGCACATCGATGTTATCGTTCTGAACGCAGCTTATGTTGTTACGGGAACTTTGGAGGAGCGAACGTATGTCCGCTCCATCCCACAGGCTGAAGGGGGCGTAGGAGCTAACTTGGGTGTGGTCACGTAGACCCGAAGAATCGCTCGCACAATACCATACTAATGTCTTCGGCATCCTAAACCTCTACCGCGCCATCCTCCCACACTTTCGAGAACGAAAGGCCGGTATCATTGCCACGGTCGGCAGCATGGGAGCTTCAATGACAGATCCTCTCATTGGTCTTTACCACTCTTCCAAGGCCGCCGTCAGAAGTACGCTTTCTTTCCCTATACTCCACCCCCCCGATAGCCAACTTACTGATATGCCCCCCTAGATCTCTCCCTCACCCTGGACAATGAAGTCAAGCCCTTCGGCATCAAAACCTGCCTGATCGAACCCGGCTACTTCCGCACGAACCTCCTCTCCTCAGGGACGTCGTTCCAGCTCCCAGAGGCCAAGATAGAGGCCTACGATGAGATCAATGAGAATACAAAGACATTCCTCGCCGAGAGGGACAGGAAACAAAGCGGGGATCCCAAGAGGGGTGCTCAGGTCATATTTGATGTCCTCACCAGCTCGGGATGCGCAAAGGGGAGGGAAGTTCCCAAGACGCTTGCTCTCGGAAGTGATGCTGTCAAGTGCATAATTGGCAGCAATGAGGAATTTAACAAAAGGGTTGAGGAATGGAGGTCCGTCAGCGAGAGCACGGATTTCCCGAAGGAGGAGCAATATTATTAAGTGGAAACTTTTCTGGGGCGCAGGATACGACCGTAGTGGCTGGAGCTGTGCAGTAGTTCTTCTCTAGCGTTAGCATCAGAATTGACATTCTATTTTCCCCCGATACCTTGACGTCGCTGTTCAGGCGAAATGCTCTCACCCACGATCACTCGGACAGTTCATCACGTGAAAAGTTCGCTTAAACGCCAAGAAATTCTGTATCTCTCAGGAGACCTCGCAAGCATGGATTCCCTGGATTAATTCAAGCAACAGAGGGGATGGCGTGTGCAGGAAGACCCCCGGCGTCTTAACCTCCAAGTCATGCATTGCGAGAAACGCAAATAGATATGGGAAGCAGTCGGAGATTAGTCCCTCCGAGTGGGGGAGAGGTGGGAGGGGTAAGCCACTCTTGCCAAGCGGAAAGCTCTCGCTTTCTTTCAGGCTTCAGCTGGTTGCTCAATTCTCCCTCACCCTGTGATACGAGGTGCAAATTGGTGGGGGAGAAGAGGCATTTTCTCCGCCTCTACCGTCTTCTATAAGCCTCATTCAGGTCAACGGATGCTATATAAACAACAAAGAACGAAACCACAATCTGCTCAATCGCACCGCCCGCCAACTGACTCAACTTACAAGTGTCGTACTGTGCTGGTATAATGCGATGCACTGCCAACGAAAACCCCGGGTCGGGAAATCCAGCGCCGCAAAAATGAGGCTTCGTGATCTGGATTACAATACAATGAACCTGAGTTACGGTAGCTTACGTAGATTTGTTGGCACGGCAGCGGCTTAGACCCTTGATGGTCTTGGCCTGCCCTCGGGCTCTGTAGTCTTCTTCCCTTCCAATTTTTTTTGTAATCCATCCGGGCTCGTACCACTGCTTTCGTCATTGCCTTCCTCCAATCCCCCTCACCCGGCCCCAGAATCGTTTCCACAAAGAAAAAAGAATCGCTGGAAAAGCCAGATCTCCCCCTTTCTCTCTCTCTCTCTCATCCGCTCACTCACTCACTCACTCCCACTATTACTCTTCTCTTTTTTTTTACTCGTTTTCTAAAACACCGATATACAAACTCTCGAGCACCATACACTTTGACTGCTTTCTCTATTGTCTCTTCCTCTTCAATCTACTGTTTGCGATAAACATTTGCTCGTCATGAGTTGGAAAGGGTTTCAGCGGAGCGTCGTTCGGGTGGGCTTTCTCTTGGCAAACCCCTCGAGGAAGGAAAGAGGGGAGTTGGAAGTTGAAAGGCTAACGGTGGGAGTGTAGGCGCCGCAATCGATTAAACAGAAGTTCAATATGGTATGACGGTTCTTGGTGACGGCCATCATCCTGATCATGATGTTTGTTTTTTTCAAGAGAAAAAAAAAAGAGATACCGTTCGGTCGGTATGAGGCCCGGATTGGTGGTTAACGATAAAGTTTAGGGTGAAGTCACGAAAGATGCAATCTACCTAGATGCAGAGAGACGATTTGAAGAGCTGGAAAAGGTTTGTTTGAGGCTATGATGTTAGCTCTGGGAAGCAGCGTGCTAAGACTTGTTGCGCCTTAGGAAACGAAGAAGCTCCATGATGAATCGAAAAAGTAGGTTACTCTGGGTCCTTCACTATTGTGGGCTGTTCTGATTTGCCGTCTAGGTATTTTGATGCTATTAATGGTATGCAATAGATAACCTCCTAGGTTCAGCTAAATGGATTACTGATGAACCCCAGGCATGCTGGATCATCAGATCGAATTCTCAAAGTCCATTGCTGAAATCTACAAGCCGATCTCTGGCCGGGTGTCGGATCCGGATTCGATTGAGGCCGAAGGAAATCCTGAGGGTATCCGGGCCTGCGAGGAGTATGAATCTATCGTCAATGACCTCAAGGTTACTCTGCAACCGGAGCTCGAAATGATCGAGACACGAATAATTCGACCGGCTGATGAGCTCATGGAGATTATCAAGGTCATTCGAAAGACGTCCTTGAAGCGCGACCACAAGCAACTAGATCACGACCGCCATCGGGCAACTCTCAAGAAACTTCAGGATAAGAAGGATAAAACGCTCAAGGATGAGAAGGCGATATACAAGGCGGAGGGCGATGTGGAGCTATCAACGCAGGAGTTCAACTACTACAACGAACTTCTTAAAACAGAGCTTCCAAAGCTCTTCACGCTCGAAAGAGAGTTTATTCAGCCTCTATTCCAGAGCTTCTACTACATGCAATTGAACGTGTTCTACACTCTTCATGAGAGGATGCAAGCTATCAACATCGGCTATTTTGACCTCACTCTCGACGTCGAGACAGCTTTTGAGAAGAAGCGCGATGGCGTCCAAGAGCAAGCAGAAGCCCTTGCTATAGTTCGATTCAAGACAACCGGTCAGCGCACCTCAAAATTGAATCCAAAATTCCAGGGGGTCGGTAAATCAGATAAAGCTTCGGTGACGTCACGACGAACAACATCCTTGGACATGTCACGTACCACCAGCGACAGTACGGAAACCCCGCCACCGCCCTACACATCAACCGGCGCTCCCGCATCAACCAAGGAAAATGACCTCCTAAGTCCCGCTGTCACCACCGGCGTCGCGAGAAGCAACTCCACCGGGACAAACTACTCGGTAGTGGGTAAGAAGGCTCCTCCCCCACCCAGACCGAAGCCGAAGAATTTGAGCGTTGAACCCGAGAAGGCGACGGCTCTATACGACTATGAGGCACAGGCGGATGGGGATCTGAGCTTCAGCACCGGGGACGTCATTGAGATCGTGCAGAGGACTAGCAACGATAATGAATGGTGGACCGGAAAGCTGCATGGTAGGACGGGACAGTTTCCGGGAAATTATGTCAAGCTAGGATGATAACCTGTGTCCTGTGTCTTGTGATGTATTGGTGAAAGTTTTTTTCCCTTTTTCTTTCTAGAAATGGTTGAGGTTTCTTTTTTCCTCTCCCCCTTTCTTATTATTCTCCTCCTTTCTCAACCCTATATTGTAAAAATGAGCCCCAAGTATCCCCCCCCCCTTTTCCTTTTTATGTTCGATCATCGAGAGGTGTTTTTGGTATATCGTATCGTCTGGAGGGGGTTAGTTCCGTCTTTTTTTTGCTTGCTGTTCTACATTTCCTTTCTTTTCTTTTTCTATCCTTTTTAACTCCCATAGTTTAGAGGAGCGATTCTTCTGTATGTATGTATTATGGAGGCGAGAGGTCAGGGGGGTCTGAAGTAGCTTACATAGTGGAATTGAATGGAGTTTTACAAGCGCTTTCGGGGGTGATCTGTGTGTCTGCTTTAGGAGTTAGAGGAAGTTAGAGTCATGATACCTAGGGGGGAAGGTGGTTGGAGGGGCCGATTCAACCACGATATGATAGAAAATTATCGTAGAACTCATGATATCGGAGAAACATCGCTATCTCTCTCCCCCACCCTAGGCCCTACCAAACATGAGGGGCTTGGTGAGGCTTTTAACCCACCTGCACCAGCCACCCTTGGCCAGCCCTGGTATTAGGGTTATGCCCGAATCCGCTACCGTACCGGGCATACGAGGATCATACCTTCCCGCACGCAAAACCATTAACGATCACTAACCTCCTGCCTTCTTTCCTCCCACCTCCATCCATCTATCTCTTCCACAACCCACGCCAAACCAAACAGGTATGCTCCCTCCGTCCCCCAGATTTCCTTTTCTCAAGCAGTAAGAGGGGGAATCAAGAAATTCCATGATGATACTTTGCAAAACAAATATGATAGGAAGAGTCCCAGCATTTCGGCATTTTAAAGAGGCGCTTCGAGACGCTTTCTTTTCTTGATCGGGGGTGCGGTGAGGACGACGCAGGGGTACTGAGAATTTTGGGAAATTTTGGATCGGAGAGCTCTTTTTTTAGGGGGAGTTGGTCCAATGGGAGTGCTGACTGAACGGGTGCGAAGATCTAGGTTGGGGTAAGGTAATCTATCGGGGGTGAGGGTGTACTTGAGTACTCGAGCACACTGTACGGCGAGATTTCTCTTGCGGATGGGGGAGTAAAGGGAGGAGTGAAGGGGGGGCTAGTCGTGTTTGTGGGATTAAGCTACAATGTATTCTACCGCTAATAAAAGTATTTTCCCTCTCCCTGTTGCCGGTAAGTCATGAGCGAGACCCGATATCGTGATCAATCGTACCTACATTACGGCATTCCTATCAATACTCGAGTACAAGTACTTGTACCGTCAACGTTTTGAAAACCACTGCCCAGCCCTCCCATACCGGTATTGGGGTGGGAAGTTGATCAAATCCAAGTCTTGGCGTGCACGTAACCACCTCCAATCGAACATCAAGGTGTCTCCCCTTCACCCCCATCTTCCACTTCTGCTCTACACTACACAAACACTGCAAAGATCCCACTCATGCTTCAAAAGCCATTATGACGACCCCTATAAACCACAAGCTAACACCACAAGTCCAACAGTGGCTCCACCGTGTCATCGCCCCTGTAAGTCATCATTTATCAACCAATCGCTCCTCCATCCATCCATCCACCACCTGCAAGAAAATCTAATGCTTGGTCTGGGATAATAGGAGTACACAGATCCACAGAGAGCTTATAACGATGTTGCTACAGCGTTGTTTAATACCCCGTCTTTATCACCTAGGACGGAGGTTTACAGTATCATTCCCCTTCCCCTTCCTCCCTCTGATATATCCCAACCTCTGCTAATACCTAGGGGATACGGAAAGCCCACGAGGATGGCCGCCCAGAGCTCCTCCTCCACCTCCATGGGACGATACCTGTCCTCTTCAGGGGCGCAAGCTACAACATTCCGTTAACCATCTGGCTACCGCATACATACCCCCGCCAACCCCCGATGGCATTCGTAACGCCAGCGAAGGACATGCTCATTCGTCCCGGGAACCACGTCGACCCCAGCGGCAGGTGTTATCATCCTTACTTGGCGAATTGGATCAATTACTCTGATGTATGTACGCGATTCATTCATTCATTCCACAGCCTGTTTCTACTCGTTGGGGGGGGGGCTGACAGGGATAGAGATCGAATATTGTGGATTTATGTGATGTTCTCAGGGGGGTGTTTGGTAGGGAACCGCCGGTTTACTCGAAGACTGCGCCGCCCGTGGTTATGCCCGCTGAGGCAACACCTCCGCCTTTACCACCGCTACCGGAGGAGTTGGCGGGGAGGGTGGGGGGTTCGTCAACGCCTACGCCGGCGAGTGTTGGGACGCCGGTTGGCCCACCACCGTTGCCGCCGCTGCCGAGGGAGATGAGGGGTGGGTTGCCAAGTCCAGGTGCGGGGGGGAGGTTTCCGGGTCATCAAAGTCCCCCATCTCTACCACTTCCTCCGGCGCCGCCGGTGCCCCCGCATCCTAACGCCCAACACCAACAGCAGCAGAGGCCGCTACAACCGGGGGAGAATACGAATGGACAGGGAAGGGGTGCGCCGGGAGGGTATATTGGTGGAGGGCCGCCCCCTCGTCCATTACCTCCGGTTTCACATAGAGCATCTGGAACTCCACAGCTTCAAGCTCCCCCATATAACCCACCAGGGAGCGCAGTCCCATACCCTCCCCCTTCCTTCCGCCAAGCAATATCCGCCCCTCTTCTGCTGCCTCCTCACTCACCAGCACCCCACCCCCACCACCAGCAGCGCCCCCTACAAACCTCCCCACCACCACCGCCAATTCAGACCTACCGCCATCCACCCCAACACTACCACCCACCCACCCCCTTCCCACCACACACGCCTCAACCCCCACCCGCAGTAAAGCGCCCCGACCCAATAGACATAATGTCCCTCCCCCCCTCTTCCCCCCCCACTCCAAAACCCGATAACAACCCCCCCACCCCTTCCGCCAAACCCCGAAACCGCCTTCCTCCTCACCAAAATCTCCACATCCCTCCACACCCTCGCCACTGCCTCCCATACCAACCTAACAACCGCGACCCTCCCGCAAGCGACAACCCAGCGCGACTCCCTAACCCGTGCCCAATCACACATGACCCAAGAGCTCCAAGACCTCGCCCGCCTCCACGCCCTCTGCACCCAGGATGGCGAAATACTCAAAGAGCGCATCGCTGCTGCTGAAGGCGTCATCCACGACGCGGAGAATAGAGAGGTGCCTGGTGTTGACGCGGTTGTTGTGGGACTCACGGTTGTGCATGCGCAATTGTATGAGCTTATCACGGAGGATAGGGCTATCGAGGATACGATATATGTACTTGGTAAGGCGTTGGACAGGGAGAGGATTTCTTTGGAGGTTTTTTTGAAGGTATTTCTTCTTCCCTCCTTGTGTTTGGTTGGTTGGAGTGGCGCTAATGGGCGGGACATGGAACAGCATACGAGGACCTTGGCTAGAGAGCAGTTCTTGTTGAGGGCGCTAGTGAAGAAGATTATTGGGCAGATTGGGATCGAGGAATAAGTTAGGTATCATAGGGGTTTGTTCTAGTGGGTGGATGTACAGTATATAGCTAGCGCTCCGAGTATTGAAGATGCATACAGTTACAGGTGCACGATTCGGGCGCGCCATAAAAGGTTACCGCTTGAATCTCGAATGCATGTGGGGAATTGGGTATGTGGGCAGGAAAGCCCGAGTGAGATTTCATGCTCAACTTTTACACTCGCTTCGCTGGGCTACAAGTACTGTGGGTTGCTTGATCAATCGTGGCATGAATATGCATGCTATTAAACACAGCGTATATCAACTTGTAAAAAAAACGCAAGAAAAAGCCCAAAACGTTAAAATAAAATAAAAACAATAGGAGAATTGGAAAAAGGCCGAGGCATTGTAGGGAGAAAAAAGCATAAAACAGAGACATGATCATCACGAGGTTCTTCCCTTCACGTACGAATATATCCCAAACCGCGCGGAGGAATGGATAAAAGAGATAAATCATTTCATTGCTTGTCGTATAGTGTTGACTTGCCTCGTGCTGGGTATAGGTAATTGCAGATGATTATGTCTCCATTTCGTGGGGGAAGCAAAAATGCGGAAAAAAAAATGCGGGAAAGAAAAGAGTTTTGGTTTTTGCCTTTAATTCCCACCTCTCCCAATCTACTCTCCTAGAGACGGCATTAAACATACTGGGACATCCATCTGAATCCCTCTCCGTAACCTGTTACCAATCCAGTCAGTACGCAAACCCTCCGAAGAACCTAGATAGTGCGCCTCAGACATACCTTGCCTCATAACAACCGAGCACATGAAAACCTCAATAGGCCTAATTCCATCCAACGGGATCTTGCCCTTTCCAGTGGTCTGATACAGTCCGAGTTGGCTTCTCAACTCATCCTCAGAAACGGCCTCGGAATGATCAATCTTGTTTCCGAGAATGAGGAACGGAACCTTGGACAGGTCCTCCATCGAGAGAAGAGCGTCAAGTTCGGCCTTGGATTCGGCGAGACGCTCATGGTCTTTAGCATCGACAAGGAAGACGATTCCAGATACCTCCGGGAAGTAATCCTTCCAAAGACGGCGGGCTATTCACACACAACCATTTGAGGGTTAGTGATGAGCAAAGGTATGGGGCAAAGTGGAGGGAATGATAGGAGGAGGATCGAGATGGGGGGTTGGATCGCGAGTGGTGAGCGGTGGCGTGGTTATTCAAGGGATGACGTTGGGTGATAATAGTGACAAACCCATCCGACATCCGACGATAACCACGTTCCCAACAGACGAGTGCCACAGCGTCAATGAGATTCACCGTCAAGGAGTTTCAACCGAGAAGGTGATGACCAAAAAATGAAACCCCGGGAACAGGAACACGCCAGAGCACCATATGCAGGCACCGAGAGGAGTGATGGAAGCGAAGAACGACCACAAGGGAAGGGAGGAAAAAAAAACTTGTTCTTCAGGCAATATAAAAAGAGATGAGAGCGAAGGGTAGAAAGAAGGGAGGGGCCCACCTTGCTGATGTCCACCAAGATCAAAAGTTGTGAACTTGACGTTACCAATCGCCAGCTCCTCCGAAGCTGCAACAATAATCTGTCAGGAGGCCGAAAAAAACAAGCAGTAACAACCTCCCTCGATGCTCCGGAAGAGGGAAAGAGCTTACTGGGATGCAAAGTAGGCGACAGAATAGCTACACGATCATTCTATTTACACACATAAACCAACATTAGACTAACAGACCAACCAATCAACACCCTCTCAGGGGTGAATGAGTGAAGGAGAGGAAAGGGCGGGAAAATCCTCACCTTGAGCATATGTAGAAGCGTAGTCTTTCCAGCATTATCGAGGCCGAGGAACAGGAGCTTCGCGTGCTTGTTCGTGAGTCCTAGACTGGCGAGAACATCCCAGACTATATTTTATCATCGCCGTCGTCGTCGTCGTCAGTGTCATCATCGGAGATCGGGGAACAGGACAGATAATCCACAAGCCTCTCCCCTGAACACAACAGATAAGGTGGAAGGGGGGGGGGGGGGGGAGAAAGGAGAGGGAAAGGACCTACACCAATTTATCACCCACATATTTTAGAGAATGTTTTTATCGAAGTGGAGCAGGAGGAGCAGATTTGGCAGAAGAGAGAGAAGAAGGAGTGGTGAGGTAGACAAGAGGCGAGTGGGTGGGTGGATAGTGTGGAAGGGATGTTGTGTGTTGCAGGTTGGATTAAGTTTACGGCGCGGCGGCAGTCTTGGTGACACGGTAACCTGTCTTAAGCGTTGGGGGAGGGGAGAAGCATTAACTTGCAGCAACTTGCCGGGTCAGAGGGAGGAGGAAATGGAAGGGAGAGGGAGGGCCAAGGAGGCTGCAACGAGCATGGGGTGCGTCGAAATGTGAATATCGTACTTATATCATACAAAAACCCAGTATTTTCTATGCCGGCGGGCGGGACCTTCCCGGTACCGATCGGTACCGGTATTGGAGACCCGCCTCGACACATCCCCGGAAAAGTTGAAGGAACAAATTCCAATAGCGATCATGGCATGGGCGGGGCAATATCCATTCTATTCACTGCCGTATCTGCCTCTCCCACTGCAGTAATAGCGCGGCCGAGCAGAAGTCGGACGCTCTTTGAATCGGCTGTGCGAGCACTTGCACGGTAGAGGAAACGGATGACACGCCGGATTGCGAATTGTAAACTCGCCCAATTTCTCTCCCCTAAGGGAAAATATTGTTCGGCCCAGAACAAAATGTCACTGGTGATCCCATCATTTTAATTGATTGATAAAGCTAGACTAAGACTGACCCGACTTGACTATCCGTATACCGCATCGTATCGTATCGTATCAGCAACTCTGTCCTTTTGCAACAGGTGAGCTGCGAAGCGAGGAAAGAGTGAGAACAGGAAAAAAAAAAAAAAGTAAAAAAAAGTAAAAACCGCCCATTCCCATGACTCCTGGTAAATAAAGGTGAATAAAATCTCGAAACAAGAGAGAAAGAAATAAATCAGCTCCGTTCCGTCCCCCGTCCGCTGTATTCCTTCGTTAATGAAAAAGATGTCGGTGAATCGTTATCAACAATGTGACGGGGGTGGCAACCGATAAAAGAGTAAGAGGCCATCCTTCCTGCGATAACCATTGAAGACCATGCACGAGTTCCAACAATGTAATGAAACAACTACCCAAAGTGAAAAACTAAGGAAAAATATTCATGCTACCACCCGCTAAATTTGAAAAAAAAAAAAAAAAGTAACCCGTTACGAGCACCAAGTGTGAAATCAAACAATAACAAGAAGATAAAAACCGTCCCTGCAGAGAAAAATGTGTTGTAAAAAGATGGTATCCACCGTGTCTAATCATAACCTATAACATATATACAAGAAAAGAAAATGATTCCCTTATGGACCGGGCGAGTAGCTCCGCCAGAAGGAACGGAAAGGAAAATACCACGGCAGTGGTATACAGATCCCAATAGTAATAGTGATATAAAAATATAAAAAAAGGTCGGTATCCTTTTGACCACCTTCCGAGAAACGATACGCCCACCCAATTCAAGCAGAAAGTACCCATTGCGCCTTGGTCCTCCCTTTCCCTTTCCCACAAATTTCCAATCCCAATTCTCTCATCTTCTCAACCCCCTGACCAGCACGACAATCAACCCCTTCTTTGGCCTTACACAAACGAGCTTTTCTTCTCTCACGCCTCTTTTCCAAGCCCTTGACAATGTCAATCGCCCCCCGGCGGACAACAGGGCTGATAGCAGAGGCCTTGGGAGAGGTGGCAGCAGAGTGAAAACGACCAGTTTTGCGGCCGAAAAAGCTGGGTGCGCGTGGTAGTGATTTGGTGCGGAAAATGTTTGGTCGCGATTGGAACATTTGACTCTGGTGCTTAGGCCGGTTGAAGGGCGGAGGTGACACGGTACGACGAGCAACCGGTCGAGGGGATGTATTAATCCGACGGACGGGTGCAGGAGAGTGGGCTCTTGCCCTGCCCTTTGGAGATGCGCCTAGGGCCTTTTGCGTGATTGTATCATTTCTGCGGCGGCCCCTGGTACGGGCTCCCTCAAATGAACTCCCGCTCCAATTAGACTTGACAATGTGAAATCCATCCTCGCTCCCGCTGACACCTCTGTTTCCCTCATAATCCGAGTTTTCGGGATCCGAAGGGAAACTCGGGTCAATATCCTGAGGGGTGATGATGTGCTTTGAACGCTTCCTCTCCTCTATGCAAGAGACGTAAGCTTCCTCCAAAGGCTTGTCCTCATCAAGAGTGCCGCAGACAAAGTCAGTGCTGTCCGGTAGATCAGGAGTGCGAGGACGGCGGGCGGGACGAGTTTGGAGTCTCCTCAGTGACTCGATCGAAGATGTGGACTCGGTTCGACAACATATGGGTCGACTAATCGCTCCAGCGATCGGAAGCATTGGGCCGTAGGTGAAGAATAGATCATCGTCATCATCAGAATCCGAAGCAAACCCAGCTTCATTGTCACTCTCATTCCCACTCAGTGCATCGTCCTCCTCCTCCTCCTCCTCCTCCTCATAGTCGTAGTCCTGATCCTCATCTTCATCATCGTCTCCGTCATCTCCTTCAACACCTTCATCTTCCTCTTCGTCCTCATCACCATCCGTCTCCTCCAAATCCTGCTCCTCTTCCTCTTCCTGCAAAGCCTCCTCCTCAGCTTCCTGACTGAGCTTTCGGATATCGAGCTCCTTCTTCAGCAAGTCGTCTACCCTCAAAACACGACTTTTATCGAAGGACTGGTGCGTCCAAGAGTCTGATTGATCGTCGACGGAGCTTGCAAACTCGTAAAATTTATCAGGGAATACCGAAGTTTGGGTTGCCATCGATGCAGGAGCAGTGGAATTGCCCTTGGGGGTGGTTTCGGTAGCAGCACTGATGGCGGTGGCCTGCGAGTCGCGACAGCCTCCCATGCTAGGGAGCTTATCGGGCCCGGAGGCAGGTCGTTGAGGTGATGAGTGAGAGTCTGACGTAACACCACGTTGTGTGCAAACAAACTTAAGCGCACAACTCCTCTTCACAGGGGTAGTATCGACGGTGGTCTCTGACTCTGGCGGGGTCCATGGCTTCACCGGACTGACCGGCCTTCGCGATGTGGCAGGTTTGTTCTGGCAAGCAAATGTAATACACCTTTTCCGCCCCAAACCCTCAACGATATCACTCTCACCTACGACCTCCACCTTTTTCGGCACCTTGCTCAATAGGTCCTCGCTGTGTAGCAAGCCAGAAAGTCCTCCGAGAAACGCTGGAGGCGGCGGACTGGGTGTATTGGCACGAGAAGGACTGGTCATACCGCCGTCACTCGTAAGGTCCATTGTCGAAGGGTTGCTCCAGGTGGAATCAGTAGACATGCCTCTCCTGAGGCTGTGGCTGCGGATGTGTTCGGCTGGTTCTAGGCCAGGATTGATGAGTAGAGCACGCGTGAGAAGTGAAATGGTGCTGAGTTGGTGATGGTGGACGGCGTGCTTCGCGAATTCGCCATCGGAGGCGGAGGATTGGTATTTGCGGTAGAAATCGTCGGGAGGTTCGTCTGCCTCGTCTGCGAGTTCCTCATCACATGATGATGGAAGGTTCGTCGCATTTGAGGTAGGGAGGTTCTGCATTTGCAGGAAGAGTTGTGATGTAAACGAGTTGTGCCCACGTTCTGGCATGGCGGAAATGCGACCTTTTATATATACTGGGAAAGCCAAAGAAAGGAAAAAGAAAAGAAGAAAAGAAAAAAAAAACTTGGTATGATTACGTGAGTTTGTGCGAATCGACAGGCACCGCCTCCCTGATGGCTTCCGGAAGCGTAGCTGGTAGAAAACCTAAAGAAAGCACCAGGCTGAGCGCCGAGGGACTAATAGGGATGCTCGAATTGTCGACCCCAATACCGTGAGATGGTAGCGATAATAGTATGAGTAATGATGATGCTGGAAATGATGCTTGAAACGCCCCAAAGATGTATGCCGCCAAATATATGCAGTTCGTGATAAGGAAAAAAACCGTGCTATTTAAACAAAAAGGTACAGAGGTCAACTTGGCGCGCCGGTGAAATCGAAAAATTTATACAGATGGCTCACTCGGCGGTGGATATATGTCGAACCGCGCAATGTTATACCGGTGGGTGGTGGGTTCTTCTCGATTCTCGCGGGAGCGTAGCGGAAAACAAGGGTGAGGAGGTAAGAAAAAAAAAGAAAAAAATGTAACTTTTCGAGGCAGCAGGAGCCTGAATGGGTCGTTCTCGACAAAAGAGTCTTGGTTACAGTGGTATATGCCCCATGATGATCATCAATAAGGGTCGAGTGGTAGGAGGTCTCCGGTCCAGGACGAGGTATAAGGAACGAGGCAGCGTCTGGTTTTCTCCTTGCCTTTCGGTGATTGCACGAACAGCGATATAAAGAGGTCGTCCGTCCGTCCGTCCGAAGTCTTGGCCGAGCAACAGGGGAAGGATAATAATGGGAAGGCTTGAGCGTTGGACGGGAAGGTCTATTTCTCGTTTCTCGGAAGCAAGGCCAAGGTGGGCAGTGGGAGGAATTTAAGGGGAGTGGGGAAGGGAAGGGAAGCAGCAGAAGGGACGGCCTCCCGCAGGCAGACAGGGTGGTTGCGGTGGAGACTAATTTCGATTCGATGCGAGAAGGCGGCGGATGGGAGTGAAGGCGAGGGAAAGAGGAGGAGGAGGTAGGGGAAGGGGAGGAAGGGATGGAGGGGAAGTGATGGGTATTGAATGGTGTGGGGGGAGTCAATGAGGGCAGTGTGCGGTGCAGTTGGATCGAGGGGAAAGGCCGGGAGGCAGGAAGGAGAGAGGGGACAAAGCCAGGAGAACAGAATTCCAAGCGCACACACACACAGGGGACGGCCAGCAGCCAAAGCCAGCCGGTGCAGGTATCATAATTCCATGGCAGTAGGGTGGGAGGGCAGGCCGGAGCGGTCAGGCAAAAGCAAAACGACCTTTAAAATCTGAAATATTATGAACCCTCGTTGCATGCACAAGCAAACAACGCAGCGGTAACGAGCAAAAGGAATCATACAGTAGCAATGCGCTGTAGTATGATAATATTATGATAGTATGGAGAGGAAGGTGAAAAAATGGACCATTCCGCACGACGAGTCCGGCGAGGCCTGCGGAAAATATCACAGGGTGGAAGAGGTCACACGCCAAGAGGAGGAGGTAAACGGCACCCAAAGGCAGCAATTGAAGCGACTAAACGAAGAGCGGCGAGCCCGGTGAGAAGTGTACGAGATACGAGTACCGAAGTCCACAGTAGCAACTGCCATTATACTCGTAGAGCGGCCCGCACCATACTTGGTGGGAATGGTACAGTGTGTAGTCGTGATGGGTTGGCGGACTACAATGTAGAGTACGGTGCCCCATCATGCCAGCCAACCGATAAATTTTTGGGAGGGTGGAGAGGTCAGTCGGTGGACGGTGTGTACCGGTGCGGTGCGGTAGAGCATGATGGTGGACGGTTGCTGTCTTGCCCTGTCGTGGTCCTGGCTCCCCCTCCAGTTGATGGATGCGAGAGAAGTGTCTCGCACCGGTTGTCGGGCTCTGGCATGGGCGCTCGGGCTCTCCAAATTGCCTATTCCGGCACCACGCCATTCAAATCCGGAGATTTTGCAGAGAGCTGCCCACAAGGAACCCACACGCACCCAGGGAACTCGCACACCACCATAAATCCCAGCCGTAAAGGGAAAATCTCCAAAAGGGCGGACCACGACTTGTTTGGCTGTCCTATCCTGCCTGTCCGGCTCGCTTTTTTCCCTCCTTCTTCTTTTCTCCTCCTCCCATCCACCTGCCACACACACCCGCACACAACGACGCACCAACTCTCTGCCCCAAAATGTGATTGCCATTCCACCGGGGAGAGAAAAGAGAGAAAATGGTCAGAAGGAAGATGACTGAGAGGGCCCCCCCCTCCCCCTACCACCCTTTTCTCACGTCGCCATAATTAATACAAGTACTCGAGTACTTGTACCAGTGCTGAAACCCTGTTGTCGCCATCGTCATAAGGCCGGGCAAAGTCCTTGGAGCAACCGCCGACACACTCCCCCTTCTCCTCCTCCCCTCTCCGTGATACCCAAGTTCAGTTGGGGTCATGAGGTGTGTGACCACCACCCTAGATAAACACCGCTATCGCGCTTGATTCTAGTTTGGCATTTGCATCTAAATAAAAAAAAAACACAAAAAAAGTAACACTACGAGTATGATAACGCCCCCCTCCATTCCACCAGTCATCACAGCGCCCAAATGAGTGACTTTCAACGGCATGAAGATGCGGTACGGCACTGGAGGCGGACAGGCAGGCAGGCAGAAGCACCATCCAACCCAACTCTTCCCCGAATCGTTCCCGCCAATAAGAGATGGATCACCGTAACCGTAACGAAAGATCAAACCCACGAAGGAAGGTTTAAAATAAGATTTTAAAGAAAAAAACATGTGTACCTTAGACAAGCACCTGATTCGCAGATCTAAACAGCCGTCCCCTTACTCGCCAAAAGCGAGTCGATTTTGTATGATGGCAAAAAAAAAAAAAAACAAAAAAAAAAGAGACAAGACAAGACATGAGTGAGCGACAACCGAGCATCGCACCCGGTAGACTACCGGTACCGTATCATACCGCTGTTATAATACAAGCACAAGTCAAACTCTCGGTGCTTGTAGAACACCGCAACCGTGGGAATTGGTATGATAGGGTTGCGGAGTCCGATCACCCCCCGATGTTTCGATAAAGTACGAGTGCAGTATACACAGGGTACGGTAGTGATGGCTACCGTATTCCATACCGGTACGGACGCTGCGCCGTACGGTAAACCTTTTTTTATTTTTACGGACGGGTATCATACCGTATCATGCCGAATACGGTGAGGTTATTATACCTACCTAGGGTAGTGTTTTACCACCGATATTTCTCTCTCTCTCTCTCTCCTTGTATTTTTTTCCCAAAGTTACCATTAGGAAGGAAGGGGGAAGAAGAGGAAGAGAAAGAGCAGTATCAGCAGCAAGAGATACTGCTATCGTGCAGTATGATACCGTACAGTGCTTGTGCATTGCTCGTGCATTCTTGGATATGATACCCCCCCTTCCTTCCGCCTACTTAGAATGGAATGGAGTACCATACCGTATGTACGAGTATCGTACTCGGGTACCGTACCGTAATGAATGGCTCCCACACCAGCGCCGCTCGCATCTGTAGACTTTTTTGTACCAAAAATACCGTACTGTACCTACCGGTACCGTAATATCCCACTCTCGGCAATGCATGTATAAACCTAGTGAAATTGTTACCGTTGACTAACTGGTACAGTACCAGTACTCGAGTTAGAAAGACAAAGCATGGAGGGAGAAAAGGTCAATGATCTGCTGGTATCATGCCGATTGTACCGTACCGTACCATTATAGCAAAAGGGACTGCAACTGCACGGTAAAAATTGGAGCGCTGGTACAGTACAGCATCCCAAGCGAGGTGTTGTGTATAGACCAATGAAACGACCCATCATACAAGTGCCAAAACCGGATACCATACAGGTACCGTAAATTGTATATCGTACCGCTATGATACGATACCGGTAAACAGTAAATTTAGGTCACAAACCACCCTCGCTCACACTCAAGCTAAAAAGGTAAGATAATAAAAAATAGATAAAAAGCGTCTTTAACGCTACCCAAACAAAAAAAAAAAAAAAAAAGAAGAGAGAGAAAAACCCACTCACGGATATCAACCTCTCTATAGTATGGAAGCCCAACTCACCACCCACAGCATTCATGGTACCACAGAGAATAAAGAATAAAAATAATAAAAAAGCCACCGCACATAAAGTTTTAACGCCGAGTCGGTCCATCCGTCCGTCCGTTCGTTCGCGGGGAACTGTGGGACGGAAGGGAATTTCTGCAGTCGTGAAGGAAATAGAAATGGAATGAGTACGGTACAGTACCATACCGGTAAGGTAGCAGAGGGTAGCTTTCAGCAAAAATTCCACGTTCGTGATTGTAATTGTGTGTGTGCGTGGGAAAATGCGGGGGTGGTGTTGTTTTCATGGCGCACAATCTGCCTCCATCGCTCCACCCATTTCTTCCCCCCTCCCCCGGAAATTGGAAACGAACTGGAGGGGAGTCCGTCGGGCGGGTTACAACTAAACTACTCGAGTATAATTAGTGATTTGTTTAGGTTGTGGGGTTGTGCGGTACGGTATTCTACCAAATCGCACGGTACCCCCTACAGGTGCGGGCAGCCAGCTTGACCGACTGGCGATTGGGTAGCAGAGTCTGCTCTGGGTGGAATATTTTCCGCAAATCTCTGATTGTACCCGTATCGTGGACTACCGTTATCATACTGTACCGCACAGTAGAGCGCCCACCGGTATATCGTGTCGTATCGCATCCGAGCAGTAGCATAGCTCGCCTCGGTTTTGAAATTCGGTCCACGTTTGCTAGTTGTTCGTTTGTTTTACCCATAATACCCACACTACCGCACGGTGTGTACGATATTCATCACCCCAGCATTCAAAATCCATCTGGCTCCGCTGTGAAACCCATCGGTAGGCACAGCGTTCGGGTCCCCTAGCACCAGCACCGAATACGTTTACCCCACATATTTTTTTCCTTTTTCTCTTCCTTCTCCCTGAGGATTATTTCATTCTGTGCTGGGCAACTAGAGCATCGCACAAGACGGCATCGTGAGGAGTTATTTGCTTTTGCAATGTACAGTGCGGTACTGTGCTTGCTTTTTGCATGAGCTGGAGTTGGGAGGTGGAAATTTGTTTCCCTCCGCGCTGGCAAGAATTGTTTGCATGCGGTTCAATGGGTGATGACGATGGTGGTATTGCTTGCGACAAGGAGGAGGAGGAGAAGGAAAAAAGAAGGAAAAGTGAGGCGAACGAAGGGAGGGGCGAGCGTTACCGCAAGGGATACCGGTAGATGGAAAGTCCTATTTTACCCTTTCCAGACCAATTTGCCGACCCGTCAGTGTGCTGTACCGTACTCGTACTGTGGTGCCTGAAAGGCAGCAAGGGAGAGTGAGAAAGAAGGCAAGGAAAGGAAGGCATACAATACCGGCACTCGTATAGAAGCTTCCAAAGTTCATTCCCAGAGCCGTACCGCAGAGTGATAAGTTAGTGAAAAACCCCGGAATTACGGTAACCGTCGTCGCCGGGTTCATGGTTCCTCTCGGGCATGCTCAGCAGCGAGTGCTGGGGTGGACAGAATCAAATTAGGGCTTTGAACATAGTACTTGTACCACAAGGATTGTCATCCAGCACGAGACAACCGTTATGCAAACGCAAAACTAATTCCTGGGTGAGGAGAGCTGCACGAGTAGAGCACAGACAATACCGGTGCATACTCCATGGTACGAGTAGTCGGAGGGAAAACGGAAGAAGGGAACAAAAGCTTCAGCCCTGAAATTCCGGAACCTCCTACCTTGCTCGACCACCACCTTCAGAGAAAAAAATAAGCAAATCTGTCCACCTGCGAATGCAAGCATTGCACAGCACAGCATTGCACAGCAAGCCACGATCCACGGTTGTGTATTTCTGCCAAAAAAGCCCCTGCAAAACCGTGGGGGAAGGGGAGGGTAAGGGTATCTCCCGAGTATGCAAAGCATGCAGGCTAGAGGAAGAAGGAAAAAAAAAAGGAAAAAAAGGAAGGACCCTGCA